TTTCAATTACAAATCTATTTAGGGTCTGACTCGGGAGACTAGGTCTCTAGGATCAAACACAATCTCCATTATCTTTCCTCTTGCACCATTGGTAATATCCAGATCAGTTTTGATATTCTGTGTCACCAATAACCTATGGCTAATTCTACATGATCTGGTAAGCTCTTCTTCCTATGACTTGAGGATGTTGGTTTTGAATTGCAATCCCTCATCTCCTACCAAAAAGTGTATCATCAAAAAACAGATTTTCACAGATCAGCTGTTTGACATTACTTTATACTGCAATTGAAAGTACTTCCACTTCATAGTACACTCATTGTAGATGAATATCTTATGCAATACCTTAGAATACGGCTGTTCCCTTGTAGGACCCCGTCTTCAATGGAGCCGCATATCTATCTATCTATTTTTGTTTGAGAACCAGGCAAGGTTGGTGCCTCAGCACAAGGCCCTTTCCCAGTGATTTCACCTAGCTTGCTAGGTCCTTTGCCACCCTGAAATTGCCAAGTGCTCATGCACTTCTTTTCTCATGATTGGCGCCTACACTATAAATCTCTCCTCAGAATTGAACATCCTTAGTGCCATGCTAGTACGGCAATCCCTGACTCTGAATAGTTTCATGATGAGCGGATATGCTGATTATTCACAATTATAGAAGTAAATCAAAATTATGTTTGAGAATAAAATAATGTGATGCAGTATGGTCATATGCTAATAGTGTTCTATCAATTCCAAGGCAAGTCTCATTGAACATATGGATGCAAACTTTGGAGGCACTAAAATTCTTAATGCGATGCGGAATGCCCTGAGTTCCCGTGGTTCAGACATAGCAACTGCGATTTTCCTGTTGACAGATGGCGAGGTCATGTTTTTGACAAAGTGAAAGTTCAAGAAATTTTAGTCTGGGAGGAGGTTGACCCCTCCCTTGGCAGCAGCCATGGTAAAGGTATGCCAATGGTCATTGAACCAAATGTCTTTGCAAGATCAATTAGTAGTGGCAAGAAAATAAGTAAAATAAAACATACCCAGGGGTTGGCCGCCATACATGTATTGTTGGAATTTTGCTACAAATGAAACATTGAGAATGGGTTGTATGCAAGACCAGCAGGCACTCACCAATAGCAGTTTCGCCTTCTGTCATCTGCATAAATTGAACTATACTGCAATTCTTGGAGCAAGTACCTTCTAACAGAAACTCCGCCAACTCAACTTGACCCATGGTTTCAAACAGCTTGACAAGATCTTCATTCGTAGTGGACCATGGCAACTGTAGACAAAAGTGAGAAAGTTACACTGATCAGCAATGCTATACATACGTTGCAAATCATGATCTGCTGACTTGGTTCAGGTTCAGTATAACCTCGATAACCCATACTGGCACCAAACCCACCACCATAGTTGTCCATTCTCGAACCCAGAACATGTTGATTGGGTCCTGAGTAGTCTGTATATAGCTCACTGTTGGAGAAATGATGACTGGGTCCACCACCAAAACCTCCTCGCATGCCATCTCTGAAGCCTCCACATAAACCACCACAAAGTCCACCATAGAAGCCTCCGCATGCTGCTCCAGTTAGACCAGCAAAGTGGTCCTAATATCAAGCTGTTAATATAGATAAACCTGTTGGTGTTTGCATACCTCGCGGACTTCCAAAATGCACCCATACCATTCAAAGCCATGATACATGCCTATGATGAGGATAATCAATCGGATTTGTGGTAAGAAGATACTACTCACTAATGGTTTGCTGAGCATCCTTGGGAGTCTCAAATACAGCTGTACCAGAACCTTTGGGACAACCATTTGCTCTAATGTCAATGTTTGCACAGATTATATTTCCGGCTGTGTGAAACAGATCCTTGAGGTCTCACCATGTCATCCAATAGGGAAGCTAAAAAGCAGAATTAATGTAAAAATAAATAGAAGGCCAAACGGACATACATTTCCAATGTGAAGTTGATTGCCGGGATCATTTTGAGTGTGACTAAAGAAACCCAGCCCAGCCATTGTCATACCCATCTTACCAGGAACTGGGGTAGCTCCAAAACAAAAATTATTTTCACAATCTTGTGTGATCTAAGCTTGCTGTATAAAGGACAAAAGAAGTATCATACCTCTTGAATGTAAACCAGTCATCCAAGTAATGGCATCTCCAAAAGTTCATGGATAGCGCACTGCGCAACCTCAGTAGATGAAAATTCCACAATGCTATATAGATAAAATTAAGCATATAGGTGATTGTCACAAAGCGACAGTGGCGGAGTGACTAGAGCAGGGAGGCGGAGCAATTGAGCAGAGCAGTAATGCGGGGTGACTGAGCAGAGTGGTAATGCGGAGTGACTAAGCGGAGTAGAGACAGACTGGTCCCAAGATAATGACAGAGTTATATTAGTATTGTAGTTGTAAGTACTAGTAAGTAAGCACGTACCTGGTCCCAAGATAATGACAGAGAGGTCAAGATAAGGAACTGTCATGCCTCACCCTGAACGCACAGCGCCCCCAAGTTCCTTAAACACAGTTCCCAACCTCCTTAACATAGTTCCCAACCTCCTCAGTCTCCGTCCCTGGAACCTGGTGACACGCCTAAATTTTGGCTAGACGTCTATGCTGTGAATTGTGACATTTTCACGTATAGATTTGTATCAAGAGGACTGTAATTGAGACCCAGATTGACAGTCAAAGTCAATACTGAATCAGTCTAATAAGTTGAAGGGACCATATACCCATACTACCACAAGTTGGTTAGTTTACCCATCCCCGATACTACCTTCGGATAGCAGTCTACCTGTTTGTCAAGCAGGATTATACCAGACTCGGACTACATCCGAAGGATGACCATTCACGTATGACATACTAAGGGTATTCTTATTGGACCTTACGCTGGCAGGAGTTTGGAAGAACTTACTCAAGTGACCATGAGCCGAGGATTGACTTGAAATGACTTTCTAGAACTCAGGAATTATCAAAAACTCCTTCTAGAACAAGATCATGCATTAATCTAAAAAGACTGCGATTTAGTCTAATAGACCAATCAGGTTGCATGGTTGAGGAAAATGACTAGAAGAACAATTGAAGTACTGCGAGGCTCCGAAGACATATCAAATGAATGTCAAAGAGTCCTGGCGTAGAAAATATTGAAGAATGCAATTAAATGAATACTATGCATAACTCCCTTGATAGAGTATAGGCACAATGGGTGTCTATTGAAAGAGAGAAGCAATTAGTTTAATCCAGATGAATCAGATTGATAGGATTAGAATCGAGGAGAGCTGATTTGCCTCCGGACGAGGTGACAAACGATCGAAGTAAGTGTTGAACAGCAATGACAGTTGAACACCATTTGAGTCATTCTCCAAAACAATTAAATTAAATGAATAACGAAGTACCTACCTATGTTTGGAGGTATACTTGAATCTTGGGACCATTATGGACCAAATAAGGACATGTAGATTCAAATTAAATGATATCTGACCGAGTGTAGAAGTTTTTTTGCGGTTCCGAATGTTTATTGTATTAAATTAATTGTACTGTGCAACTCTATATTCTGTATGTATAAATAGCAATCCGATGTATCTGGAATACAAGTGATTTTGGGACGACGTTGCAGTGCTAATCCGTAAAAAGGAAAGACACACTCCTGCCAGACTGAAACCTCTTCGCTAGCAGCCATTCGGGCCCAGCACTTGTGAGTATAGGAACATTGTGTTCTGCTCCTTGTGACTGCGAGAAGTATATCCAGTTGTTGGGTATCCTTCGAACTTAGGATCAGTTGTTGGTCTTAAGGGCAAATCACGCTGTGTGGTTGTGCCAGCACATAGTTCTAGCCCTCCGTAGGGGTCTGTGTGTTTCGGTTTAATTTACTTTGATTCAAAACCCCAATTCTTGATATACCCAAATCAATACAACCCAAGCACGAATCGTGCTGGATCTACCTTGATCAAAGGAATATATCAAATCCTTAGAACGATTCAAATTGATTGATTAAAGCTTCTTACTTAGCTCTCAAAGCTTTGCGGAACCTTTGCCAACGCTACCCCTTGCTATTAAATAAATTTGATAGCAGTGAACTCGCATATTGTGTATTAGATTGGTTGGTTGGAGTGCCCATTAAATTCCTTCCTTTCTCTTTCACACAAAAACGAGGCAAGCTCGTTACCGAACCCAACCTTAAGACCAATTCTGACCCAGGTCTTACAGTGAAACATCAAAGGATGAAGCTGAGCAACATCCAGACGATGCCTTTGCTGTTGATGACCTTTCAACCTCTTCCCTTCCTCCTCAACAAGCTCTTCATTCTATGGCTCGGTTCAATACTCTTGTTGAACCAACCAGTCTATCATCTTGTCACTTGCATGGAATGCACCATACCTGTCCACTTGGTAGACATCTACATGTATCAGAAAGCACTTATCATGTTCCCATTCTTTCTGAGTATATACGCGTATACTCTGTAGTCTTTTCGGAGTATCAGCGTACATTATATCTGCATTACATATGTGTTTTGTTTATTAACTTGTCCAGGTCACAACATGTGTGATACATTTTGGATCTTTTGTGTATTTGTTGTTTGATCACCGATGGTTTCATCAAAGAAAGCAGTAGATGCAGGCAGTCAGAAAACAACATTCACTGTAGAGCAAGCTGAGCGACTACAACAGTTGGGCATTATGAAGTCAAGGGAGGCAGGCAGTGACTCTGAGCTAATGTACCATTTGTAGATAAATGTTGTCCATTGTTGACAGTATAATTCTTACATTTGCTGATAAGAATCACCCTGTTTCACTCCAGCTAAGTATCAATAATAATCTTTGTCGACGGAATGATACTCCAATTTGCTCATGGGAATTGCCACCTTCGTCAATGGTATAATAGTCCTGTTTGCTCATGGGAATTGCCATGAATAAGCACCACATTGAGTATGGTAATTAATTATGAGGACTACAGGTAGTTTTGCCATAGTCTTGTTGATGTCAAAAAGAAAATTCAGTTGGAAACAAAGAGTCCCAGCAGGGATCCAAACCTGGCATTTTGCTGATATTTTCGAGGTGTCTGACCAGCCACACTCATCAAATGCTCTACCACTGAGCTACTGGGACTTGACTAGCTCAAAGTTCACTTAAGTGAAGTTGTAAGACCTGGGTCAGAATAGGTCTTAGGGTAGGTTTTGGTATCAGGAGTTTATGTTGTAGTGTGCTAGGAGCAGGCTGGAGCTCGAAGGGAGCTACGGAAACCGCAACCGAGGACAGGAATGACCTAGTAATGGTTGGGACAGAGAGATGCGACCCTTGAAGGGGTTCCTGTAAGGTCCAGGGAGGTCCCTAAGGCGTAGATAAAGGAGGTAGAGATACGGAACCTAGTAGCATTGCGTAGAAGGAGTTGTACTCGCTAGAACGTCAACGGAAGATCGAATAGGTCGTAGAGGGAATGGGTCTTGAGTGTATAAGCTCCTGAGAAGATATACGCCCAGAAGGGGAGGTCCCGGGGACTGGGACTTAGAGGTGGACGTCCTCGAGTGTTGGAGGTGGTAACGGAGAAGCGGCACATAATTCGATGTAGGGAGTAGCTTCGACGTTACCTAGATCGAGTTCCCAGGGCTTATAGAGCAATTGGGGAACTCGAGGAGGTTTTGGGGAGGTTAGCTCACCAAGGCGTTGGGCATTGGTGTTAAGATCATGCACACCATGTAACCGTGCCAGAGGTCACAGAGTGTCTAAGTGCGGAAGACGAGTGGGACAGTAGTGAAGTTATTAACAACACCGCCGTTATGCCGTTAGTCCCCGGAGATCAAGAGTATAAGAGGGAGGAGCTAAGTAGCAGCCAAGTCAGAGCGGCGGTAATGCCGGTGACGAGGAGCGAGCCAAAGAACTTATAAGTCCAAAGGCTGTAGAGAGAGTACTTCAAGGTGTTGAGCCTGAAGACTTAGAGAGGAGCTAAGTTTGAGAAGGGAGATCTAAGTTGATAATTAAACTGAGGACTACAGTAGCGTACAAGCAGTATTTATATCTACGGAGCGGCGCAGCGGTGCGGAGCGCCAGACTAACTACTAGGAGTTATACGTGTAGTCCTGCAGGGTAAAGTAAAAGACAATAAGGAGGGACTAGAATGAATGGGTATGTGTAGCGAGAAAGAACAATAAGGAGAGATTACAATAAAAGGTAGATCTTCGGAATGCCGAGCGGCGAAGTAGAGGCCCGCGGCATGGACTTGACAGTATCCCCCTCTTAGGCTTGAGCCCTCGAAAGCAGTCAGCAGGAAAATTTTCAAAAGCTGTTGGTACCGGGAATTGGCATTAGTCATCAATGAAAATTTTCGGTTCACCATAAACCAAACACAATTCGAAGGAAAATCTTCGCTGGTCCGTGCGCCGTTTTGTCCTTATAAAAAGGCCCAAGATTTTGCCGTTTAAGGCCCAAGTCTCCAAAAACTCCTACTCCTACAATGTCTACCAGCCGTACGCAGACCACAACTAACTCGTCGTCTACCGCCGGCCCTTCGGGGTTCCGTCGACTACCTGCACCGGTCGTCAATCCTGCTCCTTTCGAGGATGAAGATTTGGAGGAAGACGAGGAGGAAGTCCTCAGGAAGGCACAGGAGAAAGTACGTCGAATGAAGGAGAAGAAAGCTGCTGTGGCGGCGGCGGCGAAACAATAGGCCGAAGAGGCAGCAGCGAGAAAATTAGCGGAGGAGGCACGGGAACAGGCAGCGGCGAGAGAGGAGAGGAGACAAAGGATGGCAGAGGCAGCTACTGCCCGAAGTCGAAGAGGTTCTTCTCCGGAAGAGGCTTCGGGGTCCCCGCGGAGGCCTGTGGTGGAGATCCGGAGAGAGAAGGGGAAGGCGAAAGCCCAGGTGAGTATTAAGCCCGTTAACTTTCTCCTTGTACTAACATCCCTATTTTCCAGCCCGTTGATGAGGATCCCGACGACGGCGGGGATGGCAACGACGACGAAGACGAAGAAAGGACTCCTTGCGAACGATGCAGGAGTAAGAAGATCTCTTGCCAGATGCAGGCTGGCAAGAGGAGCTCGATCATTTGCAAACCCTGTCACGACGCCAAAGTACGGTGCTCGTACTCCACCTGGCCCCTCACGGTAAGGTGAGAAGGAGGGTCTAATCCAACCGGCGAGCGCCTGGCTGTCCTCGAGAGCCAGGTGGCTCAATTACTCGCTGACAACCGTCAGCTTCGAGATGGCCAGGTGAAGGCCAATACCTATCACCGCCATTTCAACCGTAAGCTGGATTGGTTGATCACAGACGCCGCGCGGAGGAGGAGATCGCCCCCGGAGTTGCCAGAGGCCGGCCCGTCGGGACTGTCGAAGAAGAGGAGAAGAATAGTGGATAGTGATGAAGAAGAAGAGATGGAACAGGAAAAGGTGGAAGTAGAGGTGGAAGTGGAAGTAGTGGAAGTAGAAGGGAAAGGAGAAGAGGAGAGAGACAAACCGGCGCCGAAGAAGGCCCGGTCAGAGAAGGGAAAGGAGAGGGAGGAGTAGGATACAATGGACATCGAACATCGGCCTCTCGGCCCTTCTTGTATTTCTTGTAGTCTTCTTGTAGCCTTGCCCCTGCTGTATGATTTTATTTTTTGGATTTTGTATATAAAAAAATGTTAATGCAATTTTGAAATCGGAAAGCGAAATGGGCCGCGAAGCGGCGTAAGAAGTAATTAGTATGAAGTATATGTAGCTTAAGTGTGACTGAAGAATAGGTGAAATAGTAACTAAGAAAACAAAATAAGCAATTCAAGAGAGAGAGGCAAACACTCAATTTGCTATCATCGTGTTTACCCTCTAAACACATGAAGTAAACTTCGGCGGAGCATGGCGAAAACAGAGGAAAGAATAAAATGTTTTTTTTTGTGATCAAGGTCCAGGTTTGTGAGGGTATCGGGTGTGGAATGCCGGTACAAGTTCATCAGCGTGTAATTCATCAGCAGCAACCCAAGAAAACTCATCGTCAGTACCTTCATAACCGGCCCACCGAATGTAATAACGTAGAGGACAATGTTTATACCTTCTGTCCAACTTAGAGTCCAGAATTTTGGCAACGTTGTACTCCTCTTCACCATCAACTTCAATTGGAGGTGGAGGAGATTGAGTTTGATTCGGGAAAGGGTTCGGCGTAACCGGCTCCAGCTGTTAGACGTGGAAACCCGGGTGAATTTGGCGAAGATAGTCTGGGAGCTTAAGCTCGTAAGACAAAGTACTAGGTCGACTGACGACCTTGAAAGGACCAAGATATTTTTCAGAGAACTTTTCAGTAGGACGAGTAGAGCGAATATGCTTAGCAAGAACAAATACTTCGGAGCCGATCAGGAACTCCGGATGCGAGATTCTTTTCCTGTCAGCTTGTTCTTTGTAACGTGATTGAGCTAAAAGGATTTCCTCTCGAAGGAAAGCGTGGAGTTCATCGAGGTTGACGACGAAGTCTCTAGCTAGATCAGACTTCATGTCAACCTCAGGCCGAACGGTGATGTTTGGGTGGTATCCTTTGTTGGTGAAGAATGGAGTAATACCAGTGGAAGCATTGGGAGCGTTGTTATAGGCGAATTCGGCGATCGGGAGTAAAGGCGACCAGTCATCTTGTTGGTAGGAACAATAGATCCTGATGTACTGCTCGAGAGTCTGGTTGACGCGCTCGGTCTGCCCATCGGCTTCCGGATGGTATCCAGAGGTATAGTGAAGTTCCATGGAGAGCGCTTTGCCGAGAGCCCGGAAAAACGCCGAAACAAATTCAGAACCACGATCAGAAGTGACATGATTAGGGACACCATGTTTAGAGAAGACATGAATAACAAAAAGCTCAGCTAGTTGTTCGGAAGTAATGGTGTCGAAGGTTGGAAGATCGATCCACGACGACGAGAATAGCTGTATAACCATTCGACATTGGCAGTTGCTCAATGAAGTCCATGGAGATGGAATCCCATGGTCGGACCGGAACCAGCAGAGGCTTCAACAACCCGTAAGGCCGGTGACGGCGAGGTTTGTTGCGCCCACAGATAGTGCAAGAGGTGACGTAGTCACGTACAAAGTCTCTGACCTTGGGCCAGGTGTATTGACGGCGTACAGCTTCTAGAGTTTGGTTCTGGCCGAAATGGCCGGAGAGTGGATGATCATGGAAATAACAAAGGACTTGAAGGCGAAGATCGCTGTGATTAGGGACATAAATACGGTCGTCAAGGCGTAATAACTTGTCACTACCTAAGCTCCAACATTCATTGGAAGGATCTTTAGCAAGTTCCAAACCAACAACGGAGCTCGGGTCGGTGGTGTATCAGAGTAGATCAGAATATCGTCAAGATAGACGATGACACAAACATCGAGCATGTCAGAGAAGATGTCATTAACAAACCGCTGGAAAGCCGCAGGGGCGTTCGTAAGGCCGAACGGCATAACCTTCCATTCGTAAGAGCCATAGCGGGTCCGAAAGGTGGTCTTCCATTCATCACCTTCAGCGATTCTGACGAGATGATAAGCGTGAGCGAGATCCAATTTGGTGTATATTTTAGCTCTTTTCGGAGCGTCGAGAAGATCTGATATGAGTGGGAGTGGGTAACGATCCTTTTTGGTAATATGATTGAGTCCGCGGAAATCGACGCAAAGGCGAAGTTTGCCGTCTTTCTTCGGGACAAAAAGGACCGGAGCGCCGTGAGGAGAGGATGATGGGGTGATGGCACCAGTAGCCAGCTGTTTGTCAATAAAGTCTTTAAGGGTGACTAACTCCTTTTCAGACAAAGGATAAATACGGCCGAGAGGCGGCGAAGCGCCTTCTTCCAAATCAATCTTCAGGTCGTAAGGTCTGTGTTCAGGAAGTGAATCTGCAGCGATCTCGTCGAAGACGTCTGCAAACTCAGCATACTCTGCTGGGATAGAAAGAGGAAGTGGAGGGACAGTAGGAGCGGTGGAAGAGCGGTCGGCAGCGCGGGCCGCGACCTCAGAGTGAATAGCACGAGGAAGAATGGGTTCCATACCAGCGTCCTTGCAAGCCCTATTAAAGACTGCAGCACTGACGAGTGCAATGTCGACCTCGGGAGTTTCCAGCTGAGCAGCGAATTGAGAGACCGTAGGATAGGAATAGATGGGTTCAAAAGGGAATTTGGATGAGAGGGGCTTGGCCCGTGAAGTCCAAGAGCGGGAGCGAGAGCGAGAGCGAAGTGAGTCCCCAGAAGGGGTCTCCAGAATTGTCGGTAGAACCGACGGCGAAAGTTCCGGTAGCGGAACAGCGACCTTTGCAACAACAGGGTTGATAGCAGAAGGCACAGACGTCTGTGGAGAATCAAAATGTGAAGTGTTACGGAACGTAATGTTTCGAGATGCCCAGTCAATCAACGGATTGTAGCGGGATAAGAAACTGTAACCTAGTACTGCTTTACAGGATGAATCTAAATGAGTAACATAGAATGGCAATAGAAGCAGCTCGCCGGAAGGAAACCGAACGGCGATATTCACCATATTGGTAATTGGTTTAGAAGATAATGAACCATCAAAAAGACGAAGATTAACAGGAGAGATTTTGGTCGTAGGAATAGAGTTCTGAGAAACATAACGAGTATCAATGAAAGAGTCAGTAGAACCAGAATCAACAAGAGTAGGAAATTTGAGAAGAGCAGAAACAGGTTCGGCCGGCGCGGCCGAATCGGATAGCGAGAATTCAGTAGTTAATGATATTACAAGAGAGCGTTCAATAGAAGAAAGAGCGGACGCGTTGAGATATAACTCCCCAGGTGAGGTACGAACCTGATCAACGCAGCTCCCGTTTTGTACCGGGGAACAAGAGCTGCGGACTAGTTTTCCGAATCCTCTTCAACAACCTCAATGGTTGCTTCGGGGGTTTCTTCAACCTCGGCAGCGCGGCCCTTCAATTCCCGGGCCTTTCGCTTGTTGCAGTCAGCAATCTGATGCTTACCACCGCAGAAGAGACAAAGATTGTTCTTCATCCTCCTTTCCCATTTGGAGGGAAGAACTTTACCATCTGCTCCTAGATGGTTGAACGCAGGGCGCTGACCGCCGGATTGGCCGGAATTCGAAGAATTCTGGGGCTTACCATTGTTGTTAGGCTTACCACCAGAGAAGGGTTTGGGTTTCGGTGTGAACGGCGCCAAAGAGCCCGAAGGCTGAGAATTGTTGTGCTGGTTAGTAGAACCAGTCTTGAAGTCCGAGGAACCCTTCTTCGGGTTCCGAGCAATAAAAGGCTTACCAGCCTCACGCTTCTTAGTTTCTTCGCGCTTCCAGTAACGGTTGTCAATACGAAGAACTTCTAGACGATAGGCGGCGAGCGTCGCCGGCTCGGGCAACCGCGCCATTTCGTCCTTGATACGTTCAGCCAGGCCTCGTCCATAAGCCCATTTCAGGGCGGCAGAATCCCAGTTGGTGCTAGCAGCCAGGGTGTTGAACCGGATGTTGTACTTCCGGATGTTCTCGGTTTCCTTCATCTTAAGGTTACCAAGGGAGTCCTCGGCCTCGCCTTGGGTGTCGTAAATGCCGAAATTGTCCTGTAGCTCCTTTACAAGGGCCGTGAAGGACGACGTCCAGGCCGGCAGCGAGTCGAGGTCCGGGTCGAGGATATCAGGGACAAACCATTCTTTGGCTGACCCACTGAGATAAGAGAGAGTATAATTCACCTTCCGTTGGTCGGTGAAGTACTTGGGATAGTCATTGAAGACCAGGGCAAGATTGACGAAGAACGCTTTGAGTTTTCGGGGGTCCGAACCGTCGAATACCTCGGGCTCCTTGACCTTGCTCTTGGATTCAGAGCTGTCAGAGGGACGGCCGAGTGCGGCGAGAACGGTACCAAGGGTTTCCATAGAAACCTTAAATCCCGATAGGAGATCCAACATAGCACGTTGCTTGTTGGGGATGTCCGGAGTGTTTGGGGAACGAGGTCCACCAGGTCCACCAGGTCCACCAGGCTCATTACGCGGTAAACCGCCGGAGTCTTCATCCAGGTCGTCATGATTGTTGTTGGCGCCCGGATCATCGGGGTCGACAGGAGGGTCTTGATCGTCGTGATCACCAGTATCCAAATCGAAGTGAGGAGGTGGGTCACAAGGAGATTCTGAAGCAGCTCTACGTTGGGGTTGTTTACCCATACGGCGAGCTATGGCTTGGAGGATTGGAGAGTCAATTCGAGTTGTAGACCGGCCCCGAACCGGAGCGACCACAGGGGGTTGTCCACGGCGAGGGGTCAGGACTTGGACAGGTTGTCCGTCACTAGTAAACAAAGTACTGTACCCGAACTGTTGTTCTTCTTCCATAGCTTCAGGAAGAGTTGACGTAGTTGGGACAGTGGCTGGACTGAAACCGCGATTACGGCGACGTGGCTGACCAATGGCTGAGATAGATTCGGTAAAAGGGGCAAAGGATTGGGCAGTTGTGAAGAAAGTGTTTTCTTCGGAGTTAGCTCTAGATTGAGCTCGAGTTTTCGGAGGCATAAAAAATGATATGTCAGTACGACGTTAACGGATTGAGTTTAATTATACTGTTAAGATCATGCACACCATGTAACCGTGCCAGAGGTCACAGAGTGTCTAAGTGCGGAAGACGAGTGGGACAGTAGTGAAGTTATTAACAACACCGCCGTTACGCCGTTAGTCCCCGGAGATCAAGAGTATAAGAGGGAGGAGCTAAGTAGCAGCCAAGTCGGAGCGGCGGTAACGCCGGTGACAAGGAGCGAGCCAAAGAACTTATAAGTCCAAAGGCTGTAGAGAGAGTACTTCAAGGTGTTGAGCCTGAAGACTTAGAGAGGAGCTAAGTTTGAGAAGGGAGATCTAAGTTGATAATTAAACTGAGGACTACAGTAGCGTACAAGCAGTATTTATATCTACGGAGCGGCGCAGCGGTGTGGAGCGCCAGACTAACTACTAGGAGTTATACGTGTAGTCCTGCAGGGTAAAGTAAAAGACAATAAGGAGGGACTAGAATGAATGGGTATGTGTAGCGAGAAAGAACAATAAGGAGAGATTACAATAAAAGGTAGATCTTCGGAATGCCGAGCGGCGAAGTAGAGGCCCGCAGCATGGACTTGACAATTGGGGAGCTTTAGTATTGTTCGAGGGAGCTCAGAGACTCACTCAGATTGCTTAGACATGAAGTAAAAGTGTATATTGGATCGTATAGATGAGAGTAGAGACAGTAGACGAGAGTAGAGAGAAACAGAGAGTAAAGAGAAATCTGTATGGTTAGCAGGTACAAAGGGACAGGGACTGGACCTATGTAAAGGGTGTGTGTTCAAAATATACCAAGCTGGGGCTTGGGGACGTTGCGGAGCTACTTAAATAAGTATGTGAAGTGAACAAGGGAACATCTAAGGATTCAAAGAACATGAAGCAGTGATCGAGATTGACACATTGAATCACAATATCAATGATGAATTGAGTTCAGTGAAAAATGACTTTCAACAAACCTGCATATTGGATATTTCAAGATATATTAGTAATATTACTCTCTCCTTCAAAGACTCAAAATGACACATTAAATCAGTTGCACTGACTCAACATACATGTTTTTCTGCACAACTATACTCTATTACATATTTTATGGCAGCAAAATTCTGTTCAAAATCTTATTCAGTCATCAATGACTTTGCAGTAAGTCAAATCTTGTTTTTCATGATCATATATTCCTGAAAACTCATAGATAATATGACTCTTAATACTACTTTACAGCTACATTTAATCTCAAACTTGATTCATGCTGGCCAAATGAATGGAGTCTGTTAGACTCTACCTCTGCCCAGTGTATGCACAGTCCACAGCTTTGACCACTCAGTTTGCTTCCGTCCAATTACATATACACTATACAGTTTATAAGCCACCAGCGGACGGTGGACAAGGGGCTCCCTCAGTTGTCTTACATCCAACTGAGGTAAGCCCCATATAATTTACCTGCACATACCCTGCTCATAACATACATAGTATTTACCATCTGACAGGTACCGAATATAGTTGTCTTACATCCAACTGAGTATTTACCATCTGACAGAGTCATGCCTAGTCATATCAATGTCAGCGACTGGTTCTAGTAACAGGTGTCACCAGGTGTCACACTCAAGAAAACCTTAGATGGTGGAGCGATAAAGGAAGCAAGCAAAGTTCTGGACTAAACCAGGTAGAATAGACAAGATCAAAGCTAAGGAAATACAGCAAGTAACTACAGCTTATATACAAGTAAACAACCCTTTGCCCTAGTAATGCCCAATACCCTGGGTTAGTGGTAAACATGAGTAGTACATAAGTAAAGCAATGTGTAGGTAATGAAAGCTCGATTGTCATGCTATATGTGTGTTGTGAGACTGCTGTATTTAATATAAGTAAATGAAAAGTGTACGTTGTCTCAGTAAGCATAAATAATAGGTCAGGTGACAAGATAAGGCAGGATATAAGATAAGGGATATAGAAGATAAGACAAGAGATAAAAGATAAGACAAGATAAGGAAAAAGATAAGATGAAAAGTGATCGTAACAGTCAATGCATTTTACCCCAAAAAAAAAAAAACACCCTTAATATAACTAAAGCTGTGTTTCTATAGCTTTGTATTCAGATTTACAGACCCAATTTTAATACATCCAAAAGAGGAAATTTCCTGCCAGATTACTGATCGCTACCTACAAGGACCTCCTCTTTTGGAGTTGGTGAACTGCTCTCATGTCTAATACAGTCTCTTACATTTCGTGACCATATGAGGTTGTTCACACTCCTCAAAATTTCTTTTCTCATTTACAAGCCATTACTCACCATTAGTAAAAGCCACATTGCAATGTACGTCATGTACTTAGATTGATTGATTGATTGATACACAGCACCATCTTGAAAGACAGGGTCCCTTAGTGTGTACAGGTTGTAATCTGAGTTTGCAAAAGAAAAAACTATACAAGCAAGGTGTTAGATAACCCCGCAGGAATGCGCTAGTCTTACTAGCCAGATTCAAAAGTAAATCTGGCTCACATCTCCACAGAAACCTGCCCCAGAGAGGCTCGAACTCTCGACCTTCCGATGGAGTTTAAATAACAGTCGGACGCTGTAACCAACTCAGCCATGGGGCACATATTGTCCAAGCCACAAATTTGAAATGATATTTATGAATAGACGAGCAGCTCTCAAATTTATCGTACATATGATAGTTCCTCAGCAACAATACCGTATACCTAATACAAGGGTTTCATTTTAATTCTAGCACTTTAGTCTTCTAGAACAGCCAGGGCCCCACTGCAGCAATAGTCAATCTAATGCTGCTTCATCGAAAATAATGGACTTACTCTTTCCGGGCGTAGGTAACTGCAAACAGCTCTGATGTATAAGATTCAACGCTTTCACAGCGTCTTTCCCCTCTATGACACATGAGATATTGATTTCGCTTGCACCCTGGCTGATCATCTCGATGTTAACATTTCCGTTTCCGAGCGTGGTGAACATCCGGCCAGCAATTCCGACAAGGTGGCGCATCTCCCGCCCAACGAGGGAAAGGATGGCCATGTGCCGATGTACGGAAACCTTTTGATAACAAAGAATAAGCGGCGGTACCCAAAAAATAAGAACTCCTACTCACCGATCCGCTTTTTTTCAACTCCATGATCAGGCGGTCCAACAGCTTTTGCGCCAAAGCATCCTCGATTGCCATACTCACATGTACTTCACTGGTGCTGATCAGATCCACCACAACCCCGAATCGATCCAGTGTCCCAAAAATACCCGCAAGAAACCCGTGCGAGACGCTTTTTCGATTCGAGTTGACGTTGATCACAACAATGCGCTCCTTGATTGTTACTGCTGTAGGAAACTTTTTATGGTGATAAAGCGCACTATTGTGAGCATGGCGGTGGGCAGCTTGCTGTGCCATTTCGTGTAGCTGTGAGTGGGATATTGGTTCCGGAATTCCGCTCTTATTTGCGTCTAGCTCCTGCGACACTTCTAAGAGGTCCGAGTCGTGTTCGGAATCTGGGAATATGAGAGTGCCGCCGCCCGTGGGATTTTCCACATTTTTGATGCGGATGGGGATTTTGCAGCGAATGGCCTAGCGCCGAGGGTATGTGCGTGAGTAAATAAGAATCGCACGAAGGGTCGAGTATACCTGCTCCATTGTGAATGGATGCACCACCTCACTCCCGTAGTATGTCAGTTCAGCGGCTTCATCGGGTGAAATAATGGGTAGGAGTCTAGCGGTGGGGACTTTACGTGGATCGGCGGTGAATATGCCGTCGACTTCTTTCCAGATCTGCAGTTCACTGGCTTCAAGGCCTACAGAAAGGAGTGCTGACAAAAGATCCGTGTAACCGCGTCCTACTTGAGTCAATAGGGAGCCAGGTATGGGCCCAAAGAAACCTAGAGCATCGACCTTCGGTCAATCCTACAGACTAACACTGGATAGGGAATTGTTTACCAGTGACGACAGGTACTCTTCTACCGCATTGCTTGACGCGTTCTCCAACGGCTTGAGCGACTTTGTCATAGAAGCTCTGGTCGAGGGTGTCATTTTCGAAAACTGCATCATCCTCTTCGGGCACTACATCTTCAAGTGACACGTATTCTGCATCAATACCCTATTGAAGATAATAAAGCGATGTTAAGCCGATCTAATTACACAGAAAGAAAATAAGAAATGAGGCAGATGCCGACCTGATCCCGTAATACAGCCGTCATAAACTTGCATGCCAGCCTTTCGCCTAGACCGATGATACTGTCCTTGGATCGTGGAGACACCTCGTTGATTACTTGAGAAGCGAACAAAAAACTGCGCAACCAATCACAGTCTTTATCCACCTCCTCCTCAAGTTCTTGCCTAATATCAGGATCCGAAATAAAGTCTGCTGCAGCTTTGAAATGCTCCTGACGTATTAAATCGACAGTGGTATTGAATGTCGGCATTATCTGTCCACGTTGCGGGACAGTAAGCGGCGTCAAGGATAGAGCGTTAGCATCTTCCGCTGAGGAAGACCTGCTTCGTCGTGGAGTTTCTGGTGGGGAGTGGGGCATGTCTTTGATTTGACCAAACAAACCCAAGGGGTAAGGGCTCATAGTGCCATCCGGGGAATTGAGGACCGACGTTGGCGGTTTTGGACGCCGTACCAGAGCTTCTGACGCTGCCCGAAGTAACAAATTCGTTGTGCCGAGAGCTTTCGAGGTTCCAGAGCGTGCTGAACATACCACAGCGACCTTGTTAGAGTCTACGTATTTTCTGAAAGTAAGATGAGCAACAGTAGATATGGAGGTACGATATAACGTACGCCACGACCTCTGAGGCGATCTGGACGGGAAACTTTCCAACACTGGTGCCTCCAAACTTCTGTACAAGCCATTTTGATTCTGGATCTATACTATTCTGATGCAGATTAGGAGGCGTCTTTGGCGGTGAAGGAGAGCGTTCAGAAGAAGAGGAAGACGATGAAGGCGATGATGAGGTGGACATCGAATTTTTGTTACTGATCAAAGTAGTATATGTATATATATATAACGAGAAAGAGCGAGGCACTATTGGACTTTATAAGGCATTGAGGCTGGAGCAAAAGTTAAAACTCGGAGTCATGATGATGATCGTGAAAAATTGCCGCTGGTCTAAAATTTCCCACGGATTCCGAGGGCGATGCGGCGCGAATGTCGAGAGAGACAATGAATTTGAATGAACGAACGATGTCCTACGATGACCTTATAAGTTCTCCCTTCAATGTGATCGCCACACGCTTCAAGTAGGGAAATACCCTAGTCAAATAATCTACGCTATCTCAGCGCTATCTCATCTCAACTCATTCAATCCGGATATCCCGACGGCTCGTTTTGAAACCCAGTAACAGACCAATACAACAGACCAATACCCGACATACAGCTCTGCTACTCTGCTCACAAATGATTAGTGTTATGCCCAAAAAAACTTCCAGCATTGGTCAAACCAAACCTCCTACATCGCAGAAGAAAGTTTTTCAGTTATGAACACGTGAGAGTAAAAAATACGAGCTCACAATGTCTTGACGCCTTGTCTCGGGTCTCACAGAAATGATCCCAGGATAGCCAAAGTCAAAAAGACGGGCAGACGTTATACGTCCACTGCGATCGAAGACAACGTGGATGTTATTCCTATTGATATCGCTGCGAATGGAAGGTGAGATGAGGTCTTTTCTGGCACCGAGAAAACTCCCGTACGCATCAATTAATTTACAGCGACTCCAAAGGTCCATGACTTGTGGCTTAATTAAATCCTTCATGTGCGCCATCATGCGATTCCTTGCCTTACTGCTAGCACCCTTCCACTCAGGTGTCTCCTCTATCGGTGCTCCTTCAACTCGCTTCATGATGATTGCATAGAGCTCGAAATCTTGAGGAACTATCCGAAATGTTCCCGTTCGCCGGTTCGTTTCTTTAGTCATAGTTGTCCATGGAACTTTTCCAGAATCAACGTATTGTCCAACAAGATCAAGAGCCATGGCTTCGCCATACGCATGAATGTCAGGCCCTCCACCTCCTCTAGCCCGCGAGATAACTTTCACGACCAAGTCATTTGGGTGATTGCCGCGATACGGACGTCCAGTGTACTTGTACACTCCAGCGTTATAGTTCCCTCTGTTACCACTCTCACCAGTAGCCAAATTCACTCCAAGGTATTCCGTGAAATCCCCTCCCGCTAAAGGTATCCTTAATCCACTTCTACTCGCGTAATTGATATTTTCGTTGTAATGGAACTCACCAAAATATTTGGCTATATCTTTACGTGTGAGTTCTTCAGGGAAGAAGCTGGTCATCCAGTTTCGCTGGTGAGACGATATTCAGCATGATTTCCATTTGTGAAAATCCGAAATTGTGGCATACGTAGAGATTGTAACCACCCTGACCCCACATTTTCTCGACAGGGTTCAAATTACCCTTCGAACGACGGTCGATGATTTGAGTAACGGATGTGAGGCCATATTCGTTGGAAGAGTCCACGGAATTCGAAAGACTTGTGATATTGTAGATGACCGGACTAGCATTCCCAGGGAGTGGAGCAGCACATGCGGGAGAAATAGAAGAGACAAGGTAGGAAGACCCAAAGATAAAGAGGGAGAAATAGATCGAAGTAGGAAGCTTGAACATATCTTTCGGGAATGTATTGGACGAGAGAAATTATTGATACTAGGATGTTCCTCTGACCAGCAGAGGAAAGGCCTGAGGGGGTTGCTGGGGTGGGGAAAGAAGGCGATGATCAGGGTTTATAAGTATATGTTGGAAGGGAGTATCCGATGGAACAGAGCAATCACCGTCGGAGGCTAGAGCCACTGAAGTGATGGGGAGACTACCAGCGACTACTTACCACTTTGTACCACCAGTCTCAGTAGTATAGATCTTATTCTCAGAGTCTACAACAACAACATGTTACAGACAGTTTCATGGAGCACTCGCTGCGAGAAGATTGTACGGTATTTCAACACATAGCATTACCTTTCCTCTGCCTCTCGATCAACGCCTTCCTCGCCCTTTCTTCCCTGTTTGTCAGTATCGATCGCGTCGACTTCATCGACCTCGTAGTCGACATTCTCGAAAGTGATGATGCCATTGACCGCGACCTGGAGTGTGAAAAGGATGGGAGAGCAGGCAACTCGGGCGCTCTGCTAGATGCCAGACTACCTCGCCTCGACACCGCTGCCATCTCTCCACCATAGGCATATCTGGGCCTTCTCTGACTACCGGAAATTCTGGAATGGACGTTCGTGCTAGATCGCGTCGTCCCTGTAGATCTGCTTTTCTTCTTCACAACCAACGCTGCAGTTGATGTATACGAAGTATTCGAAATCTGCCTCGAAGGAGTCATTGAGCGTTGTGCGGGAGGCAAAGAGGAGAATGCATTATCGTTCCCTCTGTAGCTTTCTAATCCCATCCCTGTCCCGAACGCGAGACCAAGTTTCGTTGACGCTGGATCGATGGTACCAGGAAAGGGAAGCAAACCATCTCTCGAAAACGACGTGCGGACATGGTCAGTGCCTATCCCTTCATCAGCCTGTGTCACCTCCAAAGGGGTAGACGTTATCAACGTGGGGGCCTTTCCAACTAGCTCTCCACCGAAGTACTCTACCCAGACGGG